AGTGCTGCCACGGAATTTATAACCCCTCAAAAATCAACTACAATGCTATCAGAGTACTTCAAAAAAGTATATGAGTACAGTATGCACACAAAAAGGAAATTGCTTGAAAAAAGGATTCCCCAAATTAATCTTTTTTCCAGCTGGTGAAGTTTATGGGTCATCAGTCAAGATGAAATGAAACCTCTGATAGAAAAGCAGACAAGCACATGAGAATATCAAATGGTATATATGGTAGCCCTTCGGGTTCGAAGAAGACACACTGTTGTACAGTTCATCTGTGGACATGGAGGTAGCTCTGCAGCCCCAGTCTGGAAGCACAGAGTTTAGCACGATGGGGCACTAGAAGTCCATTGCTGTAATAACTGTGAGTGTTATTCTGTGATGCTGCTCATGGTTTTTGGTGGCACCTGTCTTCAAAGCCAGTGGAGACTTCATAGCACAGGGCTCACTAGCAGGTTCTGTCAGCCACAGCTTCTAATTCCCTTGGCTGAATGTCACAGTGGTGTAGGGTTTCTTTCACAGTGTCTTTGTAGCACTTGTGTGGTCGACCTTGAGGTCTCTTCCCACACTCCAGTATACCATAGAGCAACTGGTGAGGCATACGATGGTCATCCATTCTGATGATGTGTCCTACCCACCGCATCTGGGCTCTGATAATCAGGGACTCAATACTGGTGGACCTCCAAGGTTGGAGGTACAGTCTTGCCGATGAATGCCGAGGATGGAGTGGAGAGCGCACATGTGAAATTTCTCCAGTTGTCTGATGTGCCTTTGGTAAGAGTCCAGGACTCACATCCATATAGCAGAGAAGGGATAACCACAGCTCTGTAGACTTTCAGCTTTGTGGAGATATGGACATTGTGTTGATTGAGCACTCTAGTATGCAGCCGCCCCAGTACCTGGCTGGCCTTGCTGATCCTGGAGTCAATTTCTTTATCCAAAGATCCATCACTTGAGAAGATGCTTCTCAAGTATTTGAACCTGTTTACATTTGTCAACAGTGATATTTGGTTAATTAATTCTCACAACCAGCTTCTGAAGGAGACTGCTATTAATCTCACTTGGCAGAGCTAAGCTGAAAAATAAGTGACTCACATTTTAAGGTAAGCTGATCCGTTAGAACATTTTACATGCCAGCTCTTAAGAATCTACTAAATAACTCTTGATTAAGCCAGTCATATGGATATAAACAGCATATGTATTTTTTTTTAAAGAGATCCATGTTAATAAGATGCTAAAATGTTGCAGAAAACTTGTCATTTTCCCCAAACCCATAATTTTGTGAGAATCAAAAGGTGCACCCTCTTGCTGTAGACTTATGTCTCTACCAACATTTAAAACAGTGGTTTTCAAACTTGATTTGGGGAAATTTGTAGTTCACTGGAGACTTATTGATGAGTTCTCCATAAGAAAGGTGGCAAAGACTAAAAGACTCCCTAAGAGGTAGCTGGAGCTTTATTTATTATGCTTCATACTGCCAAATATTAATCACTCAATGAAGTGGTTAAAACATAAATCCACAGTTATGACTCCATAAGCCAATGGTCACAGCAGAAACATTAAAAGAGTAAAATAAAATGTAAAATAACATAAATAATTATTGCTGTCCCAATATCTTATGCACATAAAGAACATAAAGCATCTCCCACCAGGATAAGCACATAGAATAGGCTAGTTATACCTAAAGGAAGCAATCCTGAAGGAACCTAAGAGCCAAGCCATATTGGTTAAAACCAGCCCATAAACCTACTGAAAACCAAAGAAGTGTTCACAACAAAGCTGGCTACATCAGCTCTCAACTGCTAACATGAGGACTCTTCCATTTTGTACCTCTTGTGATTTCTGAGTAGTCTTCAAAGATATCCCATGTAAAGTACATTGTAGTAGTCTAGCCAGGTGGTGCTGAGGCATGTATTACTGTTGCCAGAGCCTCCTGCTCCAGGTAGGGTTCCAAGTTGTGCACCAGACAAGGGTGAGTGAAGGCTTCCCAGTCCCAGCTTCCATTTGCAAATCTAGCAATAGCTGTGAGTTCAGGATTACCCTAAAGTCACAGACCTGCTCTCTCAGCAGAGAGGCTCCTGAACCAAAGTTAAATCCAGAGCAGACAGAAAGCCAGATGGTTTCTACAAACATCAACTCTGGACTGAACTTCAGCCTGTTTTGTCCCAGTCTCTTATAGCCTCCAGGCACTATATTAAGGTTTCCACAGAATCTCCAGTCTGGCCCGAGATGGAGATGTATAACTGGGTATCACTAGCGTACTGATACCTCACCCCAAATTGATAGATAACTTATGCTAGTGGTTTCATAGGTGTTGAAAAGAGGACCTGTCAGTCATTCAAGGTAGACCAGGTCAGGAAACAAGCACCACAAGAAATACTTTGTTGTCATAAGTTATAGTAACAGAATCTTAAAAACCTGGTAGCACTTCTCTTTTCCTTCTTCTTATACCAGAGAGAGTCAAAGCAGGCAAATCTTGAGTTTCTTTCTCATGCCTTCCTATTTTCCCAGTCAAGTTCATGTTGCTATCTTTTTAAAATGTCATCTCTGCACAAGGGAGTTCCTATTGCGCTAACCTCTCCTCCCCTGCCACAAACTGGCACTGTCAGCTTGAGGTGAAAGGGATCATTGTAGAACTGTGCTTCCAATTCCCCAATCTTTGCAGACAGTCCAGAAAGTTACCATGGTCAGCCGCTGCTGAGAGGTCAAGTACAACCAGGAGGAGTGCAATCCAGGTCTTAATGAAGGTCGTCCACCAAATTGACCTAAGATATTTATGTCCCATGTACAAGACTGAACCCTGATTGAAATCAGTCAGATAATCTGCTTTTTTCTATGACATTCTGTAACTGAAGCCTCACCATGTTCTCAACAGCCTTTCCTAGAAATAGAAGGCTGGAGATAAAATGAGTTATCTAATGTAGCCAGATCTAGAGAAGACCTCTTCAGGAAGGTCTGCTAGATCATCTTCTTCAAGGCACCTAGTTTAACCATCTCTCCTAGAAAATCATTGATCATTTCCCAGATCTAGTCACTCAACCCCGCCCCCACAGTCAAAGGAGCCAAAAGGAGCATATATTTGAGTTACAGGCTAGAGAGCATCCTACTTTATTAGAGTTCATGGCCTGAAATGAATTTCAGATCACTGAACAAGATTTTGCCCCAGTTACAATTTCAGACACTGGCCAGGAATAGAAACAACTTGAGAGAATTTGAGTGTCTTTATCAGCAAACTGTTGTGCAGACTGGCAGTTCTTCCTGCTTATCTCTCCCTAATAGGAGCAGGTCATCTTGAATAGCACTGCTGAACTACAACCCAATAACACAATCAGAGAATTAATGATGTTTCACTGGCCTGATCTCCACAGTGTAAGCTCATGGGCAAGCTCTTACCCACAGTTGTGCTGTTTTTTTTCTATCAGCACTGCAGGCTTTACTTCTATTGCTTCATCTCCGAGAACCAACCAAGAAGCATCATGAGATTGGCAAACTGAGAATTGCTGCTGCAGGACAATCACATCAAGCCTTGTAGTCATCCCCTGACTCCTCAGCAAAACCAGGCACTTGATGAAACTCTCTGCAAGTTCCGGGGAAATCCCAAAGCACCTGGCAGAATCTGTCTGGATTCAGAGAGTGCCTAGGGCAGACCACCCTCCCTGCAAAGGTCCTGAGTGGCAACAAATATTATCTGAACAGAGAAGTCATTTGGCTAAATAAAATGCCCTTCATTTTCAGATCACACATTTGATAGCACTCTCCTGTATACAGTAATGTGTAACACCTGCCCTGTAATGTTTAGGTGCAGCAGAGTGCTAGTCAAAGTTTTTGGGCACTCAGCTAGTTCATGGGAGGAAGGGGTCAATACCCCTGAATATAATCCTACATCCACTTAGGTGAACAAGGGTTCCAGGTCAGATCAGACAAGCCTATGAGGAAAAGGTTTCCTTAAAATAAAAGAACTCAAAAACTGATCTAGAATGTGTATCCCCTCCTACACATTCATTTCATCAAAAATAATTTTCTACAAAATTCTTTGACAAATAAAACCAACTAACTGCTCTGTCTTGTTTGCAGATAGCATGTTGGAGAAATTGCTTATATCCAGTTTTTATACAGATTCTGTTCCAAATACAGTACATCAGCCAAAAAGGAAAGGATCTCAGGATGCCCCTGGCCAAAACCATTCATTAGTTCATTTGAAGATTTGGCCCTTGGACTAAACAAGAAGCTTCAAGAATTTCATGCAATCACACAAATCCCGGCTTTATGACTGTCTTAATGCATTCTTTTAGTGGAGATGGCTTCATCAACAAATCATAAAGAGAGAGGAAGATGCCAATTACTTTTCAGGCAACTATACTAGTCTGGTTTCCATGTGGGTTTACACCTAAGCTGGATATTCTTTAGATGATTTTGGCCTGAAAATGAACCAAGAACTATATGTCTTTCCTGTTCATCATACAGCTCTAACTACTGGAGCAACAGATCAGTAAGTATTGATGAATTGCAGGACTTGGTGGAAATATGAGCTACAATTCTAAAAATATAGCAAAAAATCCCGCAAGAAACATCTTTCTAAATACAGATGTTGCAGCCATGGTATTAATTTCCCTTTTTAAACCTGAATAAGGAAAGTGGCCAGGTTTAATTGGCAACAGACAGCAGCAAAGTCAAATGTAAACATGATGTTTCTGTTCACATGGCTAGGCAACTATGAATGAATTATAATTAAGAAAAAAATGTGCCCTCATTTCTATGTTTAGTGCAGAAAAGAAATCTGTTCCAGTAATACCCACAATTTAGAATTGCTGAGTATTATTAAAATATTATTGCCAAGAATGTTACATGGATGTGTCCAAGTAGACAGCAGGAGTCAAGTTCAACTTTATCTTTTATCAACTTATCTTTATCTTTTACCTTTACTACTGGAATATGAACTGATCCTTGGCATTAAAATATAATCAAAGCGCTAATCCCTCTTGGAATAGGTGAAGACTCACCTTGCTGCTTTCTGAGTAAGCTCCACAGGAAAGTCAGGGCAAAGCAGCTGCAGTAAGCAGTGATATTCCTTGGCAGTTAGCAAGTCTGCAAGAAAAAGGAAAAGCATTAATTGTAAAGCGGATAGTCTCCCCACCATTCAGGCTGGACCATGGACTTCTTATAATCTTCACTTATTCTTAGGATACAAATAGTCCTTGTTTAGTTACCACAATTGGGATCAGCAACTTGGTTTTTAAGCGAAACAGTCACGAAGTGGGAAATCATGTGATTATGACTGTGCTTATGATTTTACTTCATCTTTCCTTTTTTCCCACTCCCCCGCCCTTTGAAATGCTCATGTGGCCCTGGGATAAGTAGCAAGAAGGGAATTAACATTTGTATTTACATTCATTGGAGAGGAAGGGGTTACATGAGAGTAAGCAGGCACACAATGGGGAATACACCAGCTGCTTGCCTAGCACACTTGCAGCTCCCAGCCCTGAGCGTGGTCAGGGCTGCTAGTGCATTCCTTTCGATGTGTATTCCCCATTGATTGCCTGCTTATTCTCTTGCAATCCCTTCCTCTCCAATCTCTACAAGAGGGGGAAAAAGGAAAAAAAAGGGTCAAGCACAGGGCAACATGTATTGACTGTTATGGAGATCACATGATTGAGAGATGCTGTGAAGGTCATAAATGTGTGCCTTGGTTGCAAAGTTATTTTTTCAGAACCATCATAACTTTGAACGGTCGCTGCACAAGGCAGTCAGTAAGTAAGGCCTACATGTACTTCATATTAGCAGCACTTGGCTAACATTTCATTGTATTTAACATTTGTCTTATATAAGGCCCATATATTAGTAGGGAAGGTCAAAATGCCTCTAAAGATAGGGTGCATTATATGGAATGTGAAACATTCAGGAATTGGGAAAATTCTTAGGCATTATGAGATTAAACTTCCTGATTCAGAGATTACTAGTTGGGTAGAAAAATCATTCAATCCTATTTTCATTGTAATTCAGGACAAATAAGATTAGTCTACAGGATAGAGTAATTGTCAGATTTAGTGAGGTAATGTATTTGAGTGCTTTGAACACTTAACAAAAGCAATAAACAGAATGACCATTTCAGCAAAAATAATTGTCAGGAACTGGCAAGAAACAAGCCCTATGCACGTAGTGTTTCAAACACTTTTTTGTACACAGGATCATGTTTAACTTTTTAAAAAGCTCCATTTTTTTGTGGTGTAATATTTACTTCCTTCACAGCTATCCTCTTCTGCCTTCAGTCATACAATCCAAAGGCTACTTCTTTAGTCATACCTTTTCTCCTGCCATCACAACACTCTACAGCATACCAAAAATATTGAAACATCTGCAAAAAGAAATGTGCAGGACACTGATGCAAACTTAGGTTTGTTTTGAACAGTTACTCAGCACAGAAAGTGAGTAAGGAATTAATCCTGCACATACTTTTTTGGGAATAAACCTTCTGAAGAAACATACAGAATTGTGGTATAAATAGAATCTTTGATATAATTAGGAGTTTTGCTCAAAAGAAAAATATATCACTCAAAAAGTAACTGGGGGTGGGGAAAAAAGTCTTGAGACTTTTGCATGAAGAAAACACACAAATTTTTCTAAAGACCAACAGTCCCTTTGAGAAGGGCAATTGGAGTTGAAGATTTGAGGAGGAACAATGCTGATGCTGTTTTCTCACTTCAGTGTTACCCCACAAACCCAGAAACACTTTTCCATAAACTCATATTTAAATGCCTGTTTACCTGGAGTTGGACAGCAACAGACAGGCAAGAAGTTCAGTGTCAACTCGAGTTAAACCTAGATGTGTATGTACACATACATAAGCATGTACACACAGATCCAACTTGTCTTGCTGAAAACAATGTTCACTGTTTAAAAAAAAGCTATCATAGTAATCTATACATGTTTTCAAGTAACACCTAGTTTGGTCCTTTAAAACAAAGTACCTTCAATCTGTTAAGAAATCACTGGTATGGGAACATTCACTACCACATGCTTGTAAAACTATCCAAGCAACATCTGGCAGCATTAGGAAAGGCAAACAAGATCTAGGGACATATATGAAGAAGTATGGTGAGTAAACCCACAAACATTATTACTTTGGCATCCAGTAAGGCAGCTGGATGGCTTCTTGGAATTGTATGTGCAAAACTGGTCACCATATTAAAGGAAGGCAGAGAGACAAGATCCAAAATATACAAGCTAGCCAACCAAATGAATCATTTCTTAAGAGACCTGCTTTGTGAAAAGATTGGCAAAGAAATGCCTCTGTGGTTCTTGGGGGGAGAAACCAAAAGAGGTAAAGCTCAGGAACGTTTATGGGATGTAAAGAGAATGGAAACAAACTTATGTCAAAAAGCTGTGCATGATTGCAAGTTCCCTGTCCAAAAGCTTGTGGACTGAAGTTAAAGAGAGGGCTGGCTGAACAGCAATAATTTTGCCATAGTTCTATATGCAAAAGAATGTAAAGAATGGAAGAAAAGCCAGTAGTAAAACTAGAGCCAAGAACAGGCAGGGAGTGAGGCTAAAGGGCACTAAATAGAAGGCTATAGTTAGAGCTCATTTGCTCAGTTACTTGTTACCCCTCTATTGAGCATCTCCTTTTCTGCTCCAATATTTAATTAATGCAGCTAGAATCAAAAGAGGCCCCTGCATGTTCTCAAACTAAGCACTGCCATGCATTTACAAAGCTACCGCTTTCTCTTTCTGATTGCAGTCCATTGTGCCTCACACAATGAAGCTACAGAAAATTCTTTGACATTTAGGGGTGGGTAAAGGATCATACTAGCAAAAGAGATCCTGGAAAGCTGCTGTGCATAAAGGATCTGGAATCCTTGCCTATATTTCAGTTAGGCATCATCACAGACATTTAATATTTTACAAAGTTTAAGCAAATTAGACTCAATTTGAGTTCTCATAATTTTCTAGCTGCTGTTACTACATGTTTAATCATATCCATAGGTAGGCAGAACTTTAAGTCAGCTTTCCCCATACTAGTGCTCCTCCAGATATGTTGGAATTCAGCTATCATAATCCTCTGCTAATGATGAAAAATCATGCTTGCTGAGGATTATAGGAACTGAAATCCTATATTTCTCTACGGCACCTGGTTGGAGAAAAATGCTCTAGGTGTTTGAATAAGAGCTAGAATGCTCTAGGGATGCTGATAGCATTCTTTCTCCCCTTTATTTCTCCTTTCTTTTGCGGCAGAAGATAGATCCAAGTACAGATGTAGCTGTTCCTTCTTTATCCCATCTCTGCTCCTCTGAGTTTTTTTACTCTAGTTTGCTCCAAACCTCTGCACTGAGTTTTAAGAAACATATTTAGAGTTCCAATGACTGCACAAAAAAACCAAGACCGAGGAGCCACAAAACCTGACACCATCTCAAAAGAATCAAGGAAAAACAACTATGGGCTGAAGAAAAAAATTACAAAAACAGGTGTGATTCTTCACTAGTATACCCCTTAAGGCAGCTGTATGTATTTAGGTATTATTCTGTGTTAAACATTAATTTTTGGAAACTGATTCTTTATCAAAGTATTTTATTTTACTATTAATATCTTTTTTGTATTTCTGTTTTCAGATTTTATTTTCAATCTAGAGTGTACAATCCTTTTTATTGTCAGGAAAATGTACAGCAATCGACTCCTGGGGAGTACAAACATCATGTTCTTTTTTATAGAAGTGGAAAATATGCACAAAATGTGTGCAAGCTGCATTATTACTATAAGAAATTGCAAGTTCTTTGAGTAGAGTATGCAAAAGTAAACCAGCAAGTAGACATGTGGTGGGGATGTGGCTGCACTTCCTTTTTTATGGCAAAGAAATAGTATCACATCAATAATGTTCCTTAAACTGAGAAGAGAACTGCATGCATCTGGCATTTACTTGGAGATCCTCACTATATCAGTTGTGATATGATGGACAGGAAGGAACTCTATAACATGAGTAATAAGAGGGAACAGGTAGCAGGAAGGAAAGATACTCATGCCACAAAGTCATCTACGGAAATGCAAGTGATTTCCAGATGGAAAAGGGAAAAAGTCCAGTAGTTACAAAATAGAATGATGGCCAGATGTTTTCCTTACACTTTTGGATCATTTCTTATCAGCCCATTGAGTGTCTGAATTGACTCACTGCCTGTACATTTCCACAGAGGGTGAAGAAACTGTGTTTGGGCTGTATTCTTATTAAAAACATACAATAAGTGTATAATTTTTGCAGTGTGGTTTAAGGAATAATAATGCTTTTGGTGTGCCTATAGAAATCCTACACTTTCCACTAGGATCCTGGCTGATTTTACATCCCAGTTCTACTCTAAAGTGGAGTTTCTACAATATATATATCAAACACAATCCTCAATTCCATCTGATTACCTTACTGAAGCACATTTAATAAGTCAGCACATTTTGTAAAGCCAAGTGACATTCTCTGTGCATAAAAACAAAACAAAACAGGGAAATGTGATGAATCACACTTAGCTTTATATTTCAGTAGGAGCTACTATGGAAATAATGACAAGCCATAGCAGGATGTTTTACTCTGTTGCACTTTACAACAAAGAAAAGCATACTGTACTTGTAAAACATTTTACTATGTGAACACTCTAGGATAAAGACATCACTATTCATTCACTTTTTTTTTAACGTGGACAAAGTATACAGCAATTTATAGAACAGCAAGTAAGTTCCATATGGAAAAATGAAAAGGTTCAGTAGTTGCAAAACAGAAATATGCCAGATGTTTTCCTTAAATTTGCAGACCACGTCTGAAAATCTATCCATCTAAATCTATAATGATGTAAGTAGTATGACTTCACCATATTTAATGATGATAAATGAATTTGTACATTTTATTATCTATAGACAGATCTCAAGGTTGAATTCTTAACTTGAGGCAGAGTTTTACACTGAATACTAAGTCTTCAGTGTAATATCTGCTATTCCCTGTCTTTCAGAAAGAGAATGCATACTTCTAGCTAGAAGCCACCAATGTTATAGATTGTGTAAATCCATAATTCCTATTGTGTAATTCTGATCATTTTGTGGAGATGAATGCTTAATTG